TTTTTTTTTTTTTTTTTTACGTACATTGTTCAGTATCGGACCAATAGTTAATATAAGATCGGCGCATCCCTAAATTTCACTACGATGACTTGGCTTGGTTAAACCTGGGTCGCATTCGCCATCTACAAAATGGGCTTCAACAAGCTGGAGAATTGTAATGCTGGAAAAGTGTATGTCTCATGCAGTATTACATTTTTATGTTATTTTAATCATCAAACTAGAAAGCCACTGTAGATATAGAGAGTCTGTCAAGAGTAAGGCTCAACGGCTTTTCCTTCAGGCATAAGGTGAGCTGTGTTGACCTTTGTCATAACCACTAAGTCACTGATTGCTAGATGTTGGTATGATAGTATACAACCCCTCCAGACCCTCATTCATATTCCTGTTACCCTACAGCAAAGTACACAGACTACAAGACCAGCTGGCCCCCCGAGCCCATCGGACACAAGTCCTGGAAAGCCAGCCGTGGCAGCAGCCAGTCTCAGCTGTCCCGCCCACCTCCAGGACTAGCCAGTCAAAAGCAGCCATCACCTTCGCCTTGGACTGGAGGAGCCCCTCGATTGGCCAGCCGGGGCTGGGGCAGTGGCTCGAGCACTACTGGTAATGCCCCAATGCAGTTTCCATGTTGTTTTGGTTACAAGGCTGTCTCTTTTCGTCATTCAGGCACATTACTTGCTGAAATATTCAGCTGATTTAAATGTACATGGGAGATAAAACAACTGGCTCTGATTGCTGGGATACAACAGAGTGCTCTTTTGAGCTAAAGAGTCCATTTATATTTGATTTGGAAAAGCAGCAGGGAAAGTTATTCATCATTTATTACATTTGAAAAGTCAGGGAGAAAAACAGAGTGGGATTGTGTTTACAGGGAATGTGGAAAACTCTCTCAGGTTTTTTTTTTTCCTGTTTGCTCTCTTTCTGCAGGCTCGACCTGGAGTGATGGCAGTTCTCGAGAAAGCTGCTGGTTGGTGCTCAGCAACCTCACACCACAGGTAAATACATGGACACATTTTACAAAAACTAAGTAGATTTTTTAGTTTTGGTTGTTTTGATGTTCTTGGGAAGAACAAGTCAGTCTGGCTTGTTTACTCTCACTGCATGGGTGCACTAAGCATAAACAGGCACATCAACATAATTCCACATGGAAACACTGCTCTGAATTTCATTCCTCAACCCATCACTCTTCCATTTGAGTTCACCATCGACCATCTTGTATATTCCTGCAGATTGATGGCTCCACTCTGAGGACCATCTGCATGCAGCATGGCCCTCTGCTGACCTTTCACCTTGGCCTGACCCAGGGCACCGCTCTGATTCGCTACGGCTCCAAACAGGAGGCAGCCAAGGCCCAGAGTGCACTCCACATGTAAGACTCAATCTGTTGTTTTGATAACATCTTTATAGTGTCACTGTAATGTCTGTATGCTTACTGAAACCAGTAGTCACATAGCTTAGCTTAGCGTAAGGGAGGCGGGATGGCTATCCTGGTTCTGTCCTTACAGGCAACAAAACCTGCATCTCTACCTACTAACAGCACTAAAGCTCACAAATTAAAATCTCATCATATCATATATATTAAAATCATCTCATTTGTAATTATTATTAATCTGTACGAAAACTGACAACAATTTGCTGTTTTATTTGTGCCAGTCTCTCCAAGTTGCCAAGCAACCAGGAGTGTCTCATGGAAGTTACTGGTCCAGGCCAGGAAACACTCGCCCTGTAAAACCATAAAATGCTTTTGTACACTCTGGTGTTTCTACGGATCAAACAAACAAGATATAACATGTTAATTATTGAGCTTTAGGTGTGCTGGTTGACAACGTAATTAAAGTTTAAGTAAAAGTTTTACAGTATAATTCATTAAGAAGGTGGGGGGGGGGGTTAAAAACTGTTTAAAAACATTATTTTTACAGTGCCTTTTCTTTCTTTTTTTTTTTTACCAGGTGCGTTCTGGGTAACACTACCATCTTGGCAGAGTTCGTGAGCGAGGACGATGTGACTCGCTACATTGCACATTCCCAGGCAGGAGGAGCAGGGAGCGGAGGAACCACAGCCGGCTCTGCAGGCTCTGGGCCTACGGCATCCTCCGCAGTTGGGGCTAACGGTAACGGTGGTAGCTGCGACAGAAGTGGAGCAGGAGGCAGCAGCGGGGGAGCAGGAGTAGAAGGAGGTTCCACAGTTGGAGGAGCAGGAAATGGAGGAGCCGGGCATTCCAGCTCTGGGTGGCAGAGTCTGGACAGCACAGGCAGCTCATCGGACCAGTCTGTCACCCAGGGGCCCGGGCTGGGCATCTTCGCCCAGTGGAGCAGCAATGGGACTGGGGTGGGTGGGGCTGGAGGTGTGGAGGCTGGAAGGCAGGGTCTGTGGGGTGGAATGGGTGGGATGAGCGGGGTGGGGTACCCCAGCAGTAGCCTCTGGGGTTCCCCAGCTCTTGAGGATCGTCACCAGATGGGCAGCCCTGCCTCACTGCTGCCAGGGGACCTGCTGGGCGGCGGGGCGGACTCCATCTGAGGGGCCGACTGACACACATACACACATATTTTACACCCAAGTTGTAATACATATGTCACACTCTGTATTTATTTACACGTAGAGATGACATTAATTAAAGCTACACTGGTCACTCAACAAGCATACTACACACAGGCTACATGCAGTACATGCACACATTATTTTCACACATACACATTAAGCCGCTTAACTTTAAATGAAGACAACAGTAAAACTTGAACCGGGGGAAAAAGGTGAAATCCATTAAACTCTTAGGACTCAACTGGATAGCTCTTTGTCTTTTTACTCCAAATCCCACCATCTGCATTCAGAGACCCGATCACTCAGGCATGCACTGTAGACAGGCTCAGCCAGAGTCGTACATGTCAACAAGTTTAGCTATTGCTGTTTTTAGTGTGCCACAAATTTTTTTTTCCTTTTGTATTACTATTTAATGGTCGAATCTCAAAATTCAGACTTGCAGACTGAGCCCTCGTAGACCTGCCTGGCGTACTTCAGAGTTCTCATGTTTGGAAGCTTGAGAGTGGGGAAGGATCTGGAGTTTGTAGAAATTTTGGGACAGCGCCACACTACTGAGTCATATGGACGATCAGCAACCTTTGAGGTCTGGAAAAGGAGAGCGTTTTTAGTAGGTACCGACACCTCTACCTTGGTGGAAATATGCCATCAACATGGGACCCAGGGTAAAAAAAAAAAATCAAAACAAAAACAACATTAGCCAAACTTGCACTATATGCCTCTGGGTTTGTTGTTGATACATCCTCCACAAATCCCTCCATTTTTGAAACAGAGCTACAACACAACAACTACACAGACCTTACAGGACGACTAAGTGTTACAACAGCAGTGGCCTTGGCTAACACCCAGCGGCCGCCCGCCCGCCATGTCAGCAGCATCACACCTTCTCATCAGTTACACACTGCTCTTATATTTGACAAGCAAAATTGTAACTCCTTGTTGATGTACGTTGGTTGTTTATCTATTTTTTTTTTTTTTTTTTTCTGTTTTAAAAGAAAAGAGAAACGTGTGAAACTTTGTGGAAATCCAGAGATGTCCTTTTTTTTTTTTGCCCTTCAAACACTGACCTCGCTATTGTATTTTTTCTTACTCGAGAAATCAAGTTGGTTATTATATATTGTCATGATGTTAATGATGAATATGATCACTTATTTACTCGCTGTTCAAGGTGCCCTCCTGCCTGCCTGTGTGTGCATGAAAGGAGTGATGACAGTATGACCGAATGGAGGAGGATGTGATGAAGATAATAATGATGACGACGATATCGGGAGTGTCTGTGTTATTGCTACAATGTTGAATGTTTCTTTCTTTCTTGTCCATGAGAGATTCATGAGAAACCTTTTGTGTGGGTGTGTGTGGGTGGGTGTGTGTGTGTGTGCGAGTGTTTGTTTGGGTGTGTGTGTATGTGTGTGTGTGTGTGTGCTTGCTTTTGAACACTTATCTGCTCCAGTCAGGGAAGTGAATAGATATTAATCTGACATCTTGCATTTGAGGGAGTTTGTGTGTGTGTGTGTGTGTGGATGTGTACACGTTTGCGTGCTTGACTGTGGATATTGTGATAGCTAAAAAGTTCAAAAACATTGGCACTATTGCATATGTCTCTTAAGTTGTGTTTTTTAGCAGCATTTTGTTCCTGTTTGTATTTTTTTTTTTTTTTTTTCTGCCAAATGCAATAAGAGAATATTTAGTTTTTAAGACGAAGCAACCAACTGAAGGCATTTCTATCAAAAATGCCAAATCCTACCATACCAAGCTGAGCTGGAACAGTGTTTTACAGACACGTTAAAGACATTACCTGTTATATTTTACTGTTTTTTGTTTCTTTTTTGTTATTATGTACCAATTTAAATTAAGTCAGTCTTTATTATCACTCCTGTTCAGGATGTTTTCGTTTATTTCAGATGTTACAAAAAGGAGAGGAAATTAATTTAAAGCGGAAAAGAACAAGATAATAAAGGTTGAATTGAAGTCTGCAGTGGTTTGTTGTTTGATTTGTGTGACCGAGTCGTTAACAGTTGACCGATAAGACGTCAAGAATTCACAGCACATTTTCCTTTGCTTGTTTCAGGTTAAATGCCAACCATCTTATGAATTCACATGATGTTCCTGTGCATTGGGACTGTGAAGTCAATAGGACCGTCTAGCGATGTCTCATACGCAGTGAATGGAGCAGTGACTCGGTTGATTTGCGGTGTATTTCTCGCACCCAAAGAGATTCAGAATCTCTCCCGTATTGGTTTGAAGTGCTAGAAAAGTTCATTTTAAGGTGAAGGCCACAGTTCCTCTGATTCTGGAGCAGCTGCTAATATTTTATGAAGTGAAGTGATTATAATGCAGAAAATAACCTCTCAAGTTCCAGGTTTCCCTCTCATATACAGCTGGAGGAAAGATTAATCTAAGTCCACAAACACTGACTGAATTTTAATCAATTGTGATTCAAGCCCATAACCTTAACCAGCTGGGCTGATGGTTGATATTTTCTGTTTTCTCTGAGAATTTGTAAAAATTTGAAAACTTTGTGCATGTAAAGTGGAAAAACACAAATAACCCAAATGAAAACCAACTGTAACTGTCATACACTGTAGTTTATGGTGTTTGTATATTGTTTTATAGGTGTTTTTTTTTAAATAATGGTTTATTTATCAAATAGAAAATACTCATGCGCACCATAGTTGTGTTTTCTTCAATATTTTGTTCCATAAATCATTTTCTGAGCTGTGCAGCGACAGGAGTTCTTACTGTAAACTGGTGAGGAAAACACAAGATGGAAATTCCTATTGACAATCTGTTCGAATATACAGGGAAAATATATTTTCTGGAGAATATTTTATGACAAGTTAAGCTAACTGTTAAGCTTGGAAAGCTGTTTTTTGGTTGTACAGCAGGTTGCTGACATTTAACCTGCATTAGCCTTCTCGTATCTTTGCAGGAATAATAAATGTTGGGAATAATGTCTTTAAGCGCTACCTTTTACTAACAGATATAGCAGCAGGTTTAAGTCGAAAAGATGTTTTGTACAAGTTTAGCTAATGAAGGTTCCACTATGGCTCCTCCATTGTTAAGAGAGTGTAATAAATTACTACATAAGCGCAACTTCCACACACTTTTTTTAGCTTATTCCACATATTTTAAAAGAAACTCCTCGCTGTGTTACTGAAAATGCTTAATTGAGTCATCCACATTAAGAAACATGATAACTTTGTATCAGTAGTTTTGGGGTCACAGTTGAATAATACATGAAGTCTGCAAAGTCCCCCTCCACTCATAAATATGTGTTTCTTCTTCTTCCTACAGTTGGATGTTTGAGCTTCACTGTGCAGAATGATGTCTGTGACAAGTTTGACACTAGAAGGATGTTTTTATGTTCATCTGCTGCAAGTGGAAAGTTTCTCTGTGCTCACTGAACATCAGATTCAAGGGGCATTTATATATTTATTTTTAAGAGCATGATTAGTGACCTCACAAATAGTTTGTCCTATTCTGGTCCCCTATGCAACTTACACAGTGATGTAGAAACATGAAGCCTCTGGTGCACATACATACACCGAGAATGGACTTTACAGTGAAGTAGAAGACATCCGAGAAGAAGTAGATGCATTTTTAACGATTTTAATGTGGAAATTATACTTAAAACATACCAGACACACATTATTGTTCCAAGCTGACTATTTATATATGTCTTAAAACATGTCTGGAGGGAATCTTCAACATATATATCACATAATTGTCAAATAGAAAACAAGACATTTGTAGGAACAACCACTAGAGGGTGTTGACACTTCTCCCAGACACAGGTAGCCTATATTCACGCTATGCATCCTATATGAGAACAAGCATACACAGAGCACCGAGCCACCCATGCTATCACCCCCTCATTGTTCTACATTACACTCATTAATTCAATTGAGAGTGGGTGTATTGGTGTGAATGCATGCAGCAGCTCGGAGCGAGGGGCGTCAGTGCTGGGTGCGCTTCATTCATGCCTGCAAAAAGCAGCAGCAGCAGCAGCACCCCCAAGTACTCCCTGCTCCTTCCCCCCACCCCCAAGAAAAAATACAGCAGATCCGATTCCGGACAGGAGCCCCCTGCGACTCTGGATCCTCACTGTCACGGATTTCTTTTTTTTTTTTTAAAATTGAGGTTGGTGAAAAACGGGCGGAACCAGACACTGATGGTCCTTCTCTCTGTCTTCTGTGGCATTCTCCTTCTTCTCTCTCTCTCTCTCTCTCTCTCTCCCCCCCACCTCACACACCAGCCCTCTCTCAGTTTTAACCACCATTGACAATATCAATGATGTCATCCACAGACTTGAAGAATGCCCGGATTGGGGTCTTAAAGCGC